ATACCTGGTTACTTCGTGGAGAATGCTCAAAAATTTTTGAATTTTCCCAAATATACCTATCTCCCTAACCAAACAATGCTACCCAATACCACGGTCTCTCCTCCAGAGCGCCAAACATCTTATCGAGAAACATCTCCTTATCCTTCGACGCTGGCTCGTCCTGGCGCAGAAACAGAGGTTCATACATAACTTTTTAGGTGGTACATAGGCTTGTTTGATATGAAGGGTGCTGTGGTAATGAGAACACCCTTCGGACCCCCGCCCCGACTAGGTTCTTCAAAAGTGCTGCATTTTGATGCCTTTACACTTTAGATCCTCGCATTAATTCATGCTGTGGGAGAGTGACGTGTGTGAACGACATGAGTCTTTCTTTCTAATGCCTGGAGGCAAGTACTGCTGACTTTGTCAATTTGCACGAGAATACATATGTGGGCAGTGTGAAGACTTCTGCATACTGTAGGTGTGCTTCCTCATCGTTTAGCCTGAGGAAAGGCAAGGGATAAGGATGTGTTACGGGTGCCTTATGGTTCTGGCCGTTTCTCATAGTTTTTCGTCATCCCGGCTCCACCGACCACCTCTATCTTAATTCTAATGAACTGCCTTCTAATCGAAAATTCCGACTTTGATTCCTGCGACACACATGTGTACCTCCAGGACCATGAATCATACCTGTACCATCAAGAGTAGAAGGACTGAACCATTCCCTGGTTGGAAGTCTAACCCATCACCCACATAGATCACCAGCTACGGGTCTCCTACGCATGATTGCATATCAATTACTTACCTAATTTAAAACTCGTCGACTAATCTCAATGAAGAACTCTTATCATATCGGAAATAAAAGTAGTTACCTTCACTAAGGAGTAATTATACCACTCTCATCTTCATATATCTTCTGATTATCAAGCATCACAGTATCTTTTTTTAGTAGGAACGGTTCAATTTGTATTTTATTTTTGCTCACATTTTTAATTTAATTCTTTCCTGGTGACGAGTACGATACAATTCGTATTGCATTCTGCTCATAATTTCCATTTGTTTTACAAAACTACGTGACATCATAGAATGAATTTAATATCAAGTCTATACAAATTGAATAAAAATTTGAAAAATTAAATAGAAGACATCAATGTGTACGTTGATTGCATAATCCTTCAACAAATTGTAATCTAAGTAAGGAAGCGACCAGAAACAGAGATGAAAGCTGCCAAAAACTTGTTCTTGTTTTTCTGAGTGATTTCGCATTTCTCCTGTTACCGTCATCTCTAGGCCGATGTCAGACTTTGCGAATCGCGATTCGCTAGCGTCTGCGGTCGCGTCGCGGCCAGTGAATCACTCAATTGGCTGGTACCGCAACGCGACCGCGGACGCTAGCGAATCGCTCGATTCGCAAAGTCTGACATCGGCCTATCAATCCACATCATCCACAGTCACATTCCATACGACTGCGATGAAGAAACGGTCCCATGGGAGCTGCGACTTTGGGCGCAGGGGTCGATGTCAACAGTCGACAGCTCTTGAGATCGACCCCTGCTACCACATAAGAGACGCTTCCTTGTCGGATACCAGGAGCAACGGGAAATCGCCAAGATGTCTTAGTTATACCTTTCATATCACATAAATGTTACGGTGTAACTAACTTAGGGATCAACCAATCCAATGTATTACCCCAACGTAGAGAGAGAGAGACATCGACACGACGGACCATAATCAGGCAAGGCGATGTCGAGAGCTTCTCATGTAACACAAAATTCGTAATTTTTTTAGAAAAAAAGTTAGATAAAAAAGAAAGAGAAAGGATGAGATCAAAGTGATTAATTCCTAAACACATCGACTTGCCTGATGTTTTTCTTTGGAATATTTCTAGTATAAAAATTGTAAAGTGCCACGAATCAAACATAATACATTCAACAAGTGAGGTGTGATTCGGAAAATATCTTATGCTAGTCGTCGTTAATGGGATTTGAAGGTGAAAAAGATACAAAATGAAGAGACTCGACAACAACAATAAATCACTAGAGCCACTCCAATGTGCGCTCTCTTATCACAGAACAATACATTTAAAATAATATCGGAGCGGTTTCTTGGAAAAACGGGGCAAAATGCCCAGTGCATCTGACATAGTAGCGCCGCTGCACAGGACACGAACTCCTAACACAGCGTCATGAGATTACTCGTAAGAGTGGCTATTCATGAACGGCTAAGACATGCTTGGGCAGTGCCTTCAGAGTTCAACGTTTTTCAAGACGACTTGAGACAGACAGACTATTCTTTGCCAGCGTAAATACAAGATGGACCCATGTGCACAAATGAGATTGAGTTACACTTATTCAACAATGAGATGAAAGCCGATGATTGATGGGATTCGCGGACAATCCCCACGGAATTTCGACACTACGACAGCACGCATCGACAACAGCTGCCACGTTTCCGCTTTGACAACGAGTCTGAATAATATCTATGTTTTCGAGTTTTTACTTATCAGCACAAAGCCCAAGCGTATGCTGCAGTGCTATTGGCAAAACCCGTCAGATCTGAACTTAAAGACACATTTCACGTCAGCAGAAGCAGATTGAAATGATTCAAATATCAGGAGGTACTTAATGGTACTTGACCTGTACAAAGGAGAAAAAAGAGAAACCGTCAAAAACAAATGAATTAAGAAATTTTCGTGGGAAGCAGGAGTCTGCGAAAGTCTGAAGAATTCACCGAAACAAGGGAATAGACCAAGGGACGAGAGAGCATAGGGAATGAGCGAGACGCAGACACCAACGCACTTCACGTAGGCGTACATCGTTTGCAAATCTAAGACCCTTCCGCATTTGCCACGCGTTTTGAAAGCCCTGTTACCTGGCTAAGGAATGGGATTGTTGCAATAAAACTAATCGCAGAATGTTCCTTCAAAGGTCAATGATATCTTCAATCTAGAGTAAATTAGCCGGGAGTTGAGGTATTCGTGCCACCGGAAATGACGTGGCGGACAGCCGCACTTGATAGATGTCGCGCGGATAAGCTGCTTCCAACATACATCGCTGGATATCAGCAAAGCATGCTGGCAACAGCTTATCCACGCAACTTCTATCAAGTGCGGCAGCAGCCACGTCACTTCCGGTGACACGCGCTACCCCAACTCTCGGATATTGACTGTACATAACATCAGACGGTAACAAGATTCTCCTATTTTCCCCCAACATGGAAATCAGACTGCGGAATCAATCGCCAAAAGTATTTCTGAGTAAATGGACATAAATTAATTTGATGATGAAGAACAAGAGTGAAATACAGATCATTGCAAATCATTGGACGTCTCTGCAATTTCAACGAACTAAAATGCACCAGGCACCCCTGAGGGATGGGTAATGTCGATTAATTAGTCCAAGCTTTTTGTAATAAGTTGCACGATGACAACAGCTCTCGTCATTCTACTGCGAATAATGACATTCATAACAGGAATTCAAGGAAAACTCATTGGGCCTGCTATGCTTGGCCGGCCACGGACAAGGAAGAAGCTTCGAATTTTATTTCTTTCTCCAAATACTATTTTTTCTAAAGAAAAAGTGGCTCAGATTGGGCGTATTAATAAGGTTTTAGTGAATGCTAAATGAAAATAAGACTAAATTAAAGAAATATGTAAGAAAAAAAATTTGAAGTCCTCTTCCTTGACCCGGCCGAAACAGCACAAAACACAGGCAAAAAACTCAAATCTTTCTACGATGGGTGCACATTCGTCCCCTCCCCTGCGAGATGTTCGTTGTTTTCCGCTTCTCTCGTCAGTATAGAAATTGTTGGCTTTGGCTTTTGCTTGTTGTGCTGTGTGAAAGCCCCTTTGCGCCTTCCACGCCTGACGCCAATCAATGAAAACGTCACATACACACACACGAAGCAAACCAACCGTTAGAATTCGGTTCGGGTAGATTCTCTCGTGTCACCAAATGCATCACCGTGGTTTTTCCTTGTGGCAAATTTAACGCGTTCAGTGTGACCGATCCGTGCAGAAATCGTCCATGATAGATGAGTTTAAGCATTGAAGCCGATTCCACCTTTTCTTCTGCCCACTCTGAAACATATCTTTCGAGTTTGAAGTTTAAAAAGTTCGATAACGACAAGAAACCGTTACAGGAGGTCTCTTAAATGGAACAAATTTTTTTCAAGGTAGGTAAAGTTGACACTCTTCCACGCTCTGTGCGAACATGACTCCAAGCCTTTCCCTAAGGTCTTCAAAACAGTCACACATATCGCGCTTCACACCTATACTAGATGAAAGAAACACAATGAAATTCGAATCCATGTCAACAAATGAACAATTATTCAGAACGAAATGGGTACAACTCACCAGGAAAGGTTAACTAAAGGACTAAAGGAAAGGTTAACTAAAGGAAACTTCCCATGGAAGTTTTTAATCAAGACCGAGGTATACCTATAGGCTTAATACGCTGACTACAAATATGGAAAATAAAACTGCAAAATAATCTGCCCAGGAAGCTGTGAGCTGTCAGTTGGCTGGAAGGAAAGCCTCATATTTGGACAGTGCTAGCTTTCAAAGTCGCTGTAGAGTAGTGGTGGTGCTCTCGCTCTCCAGCTGCAGTCGTGAGTTCTCTAGCCCTCGGAGAGCAAATTCCGAGAGCACTACCACTACTCCACGGCGACTTTGAAAGCCCGGAGGCTAGTGTAATGCTTTACTTCCAGCCAACTTTGACTGCTCACAACTTCCTTGGCAGGTTCATTTTGCAGTTTTAGTTTCCATATTTGTAATCAGCGTTTGAAGCTCTATCGATATATCTGGGTCTCAATTCAAAGTTCCATGGGAAGTTGAATGCCTTCCCTGATCATCCCTTGGACCCTTCCTCTCCCCATAATTAGTTAGTTATTTTTTTACAAATATGCAAAAATAACTACTATTTCACCAATAACGTCGTCACTGGTGATGAGTGTATCATTTTTGTATCCTATATGTAGTGGCTTTGGACAAGTGTGGCCCACCGGAGGGGCCACACAGTCGTCAAAAGTTCATGCATCATCTTTGTTTCATCTAGAATAATGTTGACGTAGCAGATGCGTGACCGTATTTTGAAGACCTGGGATGACAAAAATGTCGCACAAACCTTTAGGAAGTTTCATTTCAGTACAATTCAAAAGAATATCACTTCTGATGATCACATAATCACTTCTGATGAGAAACAAATCTATCGAGAATTCGAAACTATTTGCAGTATGTGGAGCAATGGATCTGACCCTGGCTGGCAACACTCTGACTCATGATCTAATTCTTTCTTCACACTAATGCGCACGTGCCATTCGCGCTAAACCTACCACTAATATGAATCGCTCATGACGCAACGAACAGACCAAGAATTCGATGATGAGCACATCACAATGTTTGGGTGCGCCTCGCAATAATTCCACTCAGAATCATGGACCCATTTGAATGCGTATATAAACTGTCACTGTAGGGGTACGTTTTTTTTTCAAGCAAATAAGTCTGAAACCAACTAATCGGCTATGGTAGGATGGAAGGCCATGGACGTACAAGTAAGCACCGCCACTTGCAAATACAGAACCTCCGCCCCACAGTAATCAACAAATTTGAAACAATGGTGGCTTAAAAGAACACAGAGGGGAACCAAACGTTCACTTTAATTAGCAGTTTTTTTCTGACCCATTCATAATTATTTTAGTCAATTTCTATGTGACATTTCAAACTCGGAAAGCATCACGCTAGTCGACATTGGTGAAACTACTGACGGATATTTGATTACATTCGAAAATAAAAACAGAACGAGTGGGAGATACGTTCAGTGAGACGGTCCTCACCGCGCTAAATCCCTTTCTTTACCAAAAATAAATCCGCACCTCCAATTCAGTTTGCATTTCACTTACAATTAGGTGAAGAAAAGGAAAAACTGATTACACTCCAAGGACCACTTCCAATAGAACAATTTTAATCCGACTTGCCTCAGACGCACGTAAATTCGATCACGATCGAGTAAAACATGTAAAAGAGAGTACAACAAAGCGAGGGAGGGCGGAAATGGTGTTAGGCAAGCGGCGGCTCGTATCGCGCACACCCTTTCAAGACCAAATCCTAGACAGTACCCCGTTCAGGCAGTTGAGCACTCCATCCCTCCGAGATCGCTGAATTGGTGCCACATTTATCCAATAAGAAAAGCACACTTATTTATTTACTTATAGTATAGATCGGCTGGCACCGTAGTTCGTTGCACAGACCAAATTTCATTCCGAGTCCATTACGATTCTCAGTACGTAGAGCATTTAAAAATTGTGACACTTAATTCTTTATCCTTTGAACCCATTAAACCAGAGGGGCACAAAGGCCATCAATTGAGAGCAACGAATTTTTAAAAACACTTTCGAAAAATCAATCCCTCTTATTAGCTCAGTACCTTACGACAGCTACGCCTGGCCAAGCGACCTTTCACATTTTCCATCTACCTTGAAAAATGAGTTTTATGAGAGGCACCTTCGCCACCTGTTGTTTATTGTTTCAACAGCAAGCGGGTGTGCTATGTTGTGATGCAATCCCGGCTTCATCCAGTCGCAAACGCAGGCGATAAGATATCGGAATACTATCGGAGGAACTCGCTAAACGAAACCCCTTGTCAAGCTCTACGGCAGGAAATATGCATGAAAGCTGCAGGCGCTCTGGGCGGATTGAACACTTCTTTGAACAGGGCTGACCTTTCCACAGAGGCAAGTGTGACATCAGTGACTCAGAAGCGCTTAACAAGATGATCAGAAAACAAAATGTTGATAAACGTATTAGGAATGAAGTAAACGTGTAAATTTCAATCGTCAATGAAAAACGAACCATATTCGCTCTATAAAAGGGTTACTATAGCCAATTGGTGATCAAATTCGCGCTTTTCCTACACTTCTATGGTATCAACTGGTTAAAATCGGTCCTTTGGCTCAATTACTACTTGCGATGACATAACACATGACTCAAAAAATGCTACAAACCGAAGATGTAAAGCCTTTGGCTACGGCTTAAGGCTTCTTTAATAACCGATGTGAACAACCTTTTCTTTGCTTACTGGGAGACGATTTGTGATGCGTTGGCTTGATTGACAATCAGGTCTATTTGAATGCTTACCACTTCGCACTTTATTTTTTGTTTGACGCCGCTCACATAACAGTTTTGTGCTTCCAACATGTGTTACACATACAGCTTCCGTTAAATCACTGCTGCTACATTGAAGGTTCAAGTACACACTTTAGCCTTAATTTATCGATATGAAAATCAGGAAACAGGATCACACCAAGAATGTCAAGTGAGCGTAATCATAACTATGGGCGAGGATAATGTAAAGGCAGTTAGAAAAAAAGTTTAATTGATCGAAAAACCAACAGGAAATTATATAAGGTTGGAGAACAAAGAAGTCTACTTCGTTCGTAATGCCTTTCAAGAGCGTTACGGTTAGCGAACCGGAACAGAAATGACTAATACAAAATAATAATGCATAATGAAAACAAAACAGATTACCTATTGTTATAGATGGATTTGGCCCTTTCACAGGCGAACTATTGATAATTCATACAATAGGAACTTTTTCGAAGGTTTTTTTTTGTCGCCCATTTCACCTGAATTTCACCTTCCCACAAGACCACCAACTCTACCGCGCTTCTGGAACCGCACCCAAGTAACCATGTAATTATTCTTAAGCCTGCTCTGATTTCAGCGCAATGAGATCACGCAATCCTTTCACGTTTAACAATTTAAAAACTGAATGAATATGGCGACACTGCACATTTCTTCCTTTAGTACACATTGAGCTTTTTCATTTTCTCTTTGGAATACGAATAAATAACAAAGAAAAATAAAAATATAATAAAATACCAGATCTTTCTCTCAGAGACCTTCAAAAAAAACCAAATATTCATGTCAATGTCTTGTGGAACTAAACTGTCATGCCTAGTCACTAAATCAATGAGCTCATGAGAAAGTTGAGGATTGCTGAGCTAACGCTACAAGGGCAAGCTATAAGCTTGAATTGACTAATTTTGCAAACCTACCTTTTTCACAATTTTATGTTTTAATTTTTTTAAATTTTTTTTCTAAGGAAACTACTATGCACTAATACACTAATGAAATAAACGCTGTTCGGTACAATAGCCTTCATATATTATCAGTTATTTATTCTTTAAAAAGTCCTAAACAAAAACTGAAAGGAAAAAGATTCCGGGTGCTATTAGTTTGGGGGGCACCGGCTCGCGCAGCAGTTGTCGCCTGGCAGTCGGAAATCCGTACCAATGGAGTGTGGGCAGTCATTAGGGGGGGGGGGAGTGCGGGACAGAATGCGGGAAAAAGTGGAATGTTTTCGATTCGTGTCTCGCTCGAGAGGCCAGGTGCAGGCCGCGCCGCACGTGCCCCCCCCACCAACTAAGTTCACACCAAGTTCCGTAAAAGAAAAAGTTAACGGATGGCTAAACGGCTAACCAAACAGTCGCGTTTAATCAAAAGGTGAAAAACAACTATGCGACGCGAAGCGCTTGTTCGTATAGAATTTTCGGTAGTGACGACCAGTGGTAGATGACTTAATTTAATTACGTAGCACTCCTATTTCACTGCCAAATAGCTACAAATAAAACCTAGCTAACAAGGCGCCTGCTATATACGGCACACAGCTGCTGAACGTATTTCATCTGTCCTGGCGCTACGATTGACCATTACTTTACATGCACGGAAGATGTTTGATGGATTATCCACTCTAACACTTTAAGTATTCTTTACGTGAACTAAACTGCTTTACTTTGAGTAGCGTGTTGTCTAGGTAATGGTAGCATAAAAAGGCTGCGTTTGCCAATCCAGAGTTGACCTTGCATCCCATTGGGCAAGCTTAGCGAACCTACAGCGGGACTTTGAACGGCTTTCAAACGTTCACTCTCCCCCCCCCCTCATGCCGGCGTGCTATTCACTTGTGACTCCGCACACCCAACACACGACACATTAAAATGAGGTCGTTAACTGTTGCCATTGAATAGCCTCCCATTAAAAGCCCAACAAACTTTCGTTAAAAGTACAACCTATAGTATAAAAACAGTGATTTGAGACGCTGGCTCAGTCGCAAGAACTTGCGATAAGTATTCGATAAGCTGAATGGAACGGCAGGCCCTAAATTGTTTATAGTCACAGGAGTCTGTTCGTCGAGGGGGGGGGGGAGTAGAATGCCATCATCTCGTAACGATGTGAGTGAAAAAAATGAAATGCTATATAAAGGTCAAGAGCTTTCGATATAGACTGAAATTTAAAGATGCATCAACAAACAAAATGTGAAATCATAGATAGGACACTGCAACTGGAAAAAAATAGAAATGTTGCTGGGAAATTAATACTTTTTAGGTCAGCTTTCTCGATTACATAGCTGGTCACTGAAAGTGAAAATCTTATGCAGAAGAAAATTCATCATGCTTCATTCTCTCCAAAATCCCTCCGCCTGTCATTCACGCAATGCCCAACATATGACTCCCAGCGCGTACTATGGAAACCATTAGAATGAACAATAGCCAATAAAATCTTTATGGCATTTTCTCGCTAATAGAAGAGAGAATTGGTTCTTGGAATTGTTGCACGGAAATGTGTTCGTCTAACCGGTTGGATGACTACATTCATCAGTGGTAACGACGATGATTAGCAATGAATGATCACGTCTGAGGCCATTGCTGTCAGATCATCATCGTTCAAAGAGAAACTGATCTATAGCAAGAAAACTCTGTAGAAAAACCAAGGAATACAGAAGCAAATCATGATTAAAGTAACTCAAAAAAGTGTTCTCTTACCTTTTGGCCATTGTTCGAACACCTTCTGGGTTACTTCATGAGCAGGTGTGAGCGGATGAAATTGGAATTCATGCGTCCGTCCACTCACCAATATCAAACGCAGTGTGACCTGAAGGCATAATCTGATTCTCGATATCATCGATTACACAGTAACCAAACCATTTCCGACTTTACTGACAGATCTCTGCACACATACAGATCCCTATAAAACATGGAGACCTATTATGCAGTGAATCCAAAACGGCGTTGTGGTCAAATAGGAGAGTCAGCGCTCGCCGGCCAGTTCGACCAAATTTAGACATTTCAAAGCGGATTTTCCGCACCGCGGCACAGTGCGTAACAATGCTTTGCAAACATGGGCCGAATCTATTTTTATATGGTAAGTAAATGTACCCTGACGTTGGGAATATGCATATTTTTACATTTCAACAATTTCAGCGTTTTTACTACTTTTCCACAAAGAATATGCATATATGAGAGTTAACAAGTTTCGGAACCTTTTTTGCGTAGTGAAATAAGTGCATATGGTACGCATTCGATGAGGATTTCAGGGTAATAGGTCACTTTGCGCGATTATCTTCCCATTCTTACAGAGTAATGCAGCGATTATGGAAACAAAGAAGGAGAAAGGCGCAAGAAGGAGAAACAAGTAAAACCGGCAAAGCACAATGAATTAGAGACCACTAAACGCAGCTAACAAGCCTCAAAAATAGCTCCTCCTTACTCTTCTACGGCATTTGACCGTATTCGAACAAACAAGTTAACAAAAAATCACAAGTGGTTATACGCCTCTTTTCTAGAGCAAGTGTAAAGACAGATACAAAGGAAATGACGTCATCAAAAACTGCACTGCATGAACTGAAGATATATAATGTAATGGGTATACCTGATTTAAAACATTACTAGAAAGTAAAACATATCATTTAATGAAAATATAATAATGAGTTTTCACGAGCAATGTGAGAAATCTTATGACCGCAGACTTTTAGGGTCAATGATAGGCGCCTGACAATCAGAAAATTATGCCGATGCAATTTTTCAACTTTTTTCTCAAAGCGCCCCTTATCTTGGAACCGCATTCCCTCGCTAGAAATCTCCCGGGGATGCTCAGAACACACTTGAGCTACCCATGGCGTTGTTCGTGAAGATATGAATCATAGTCTTAGAGCCTAATTATACTTGGCAGTTCGACTAGCAGTTCGAGTGTGAAGCAGATACGTATCGATCAAGCGATCGCAAATTCCATGCGATAGTACGATCGATACGTATCTCTTCCATACTCAACCTACGAGACGAACAGCAAAATATGATTCGACTCTCACGTTATAAAATTTCCAGTAATGAAGAAACTGTGGGTTCCAGAATTGATTCACTTTAACAGCACTGTCTATTTTACTGGAACGAAGTGAGCTATTACGCTCGATAACACACAAGACTTCTCTTTTCGTTTGTCGGGGACATGAAAAAAACATCTTGTAAACCATTTTCTTGGTAAGGAATCCCAAGCAGACGCGATGGAGCACCATCATACCTGTGGATGGGACCTCGTTCATATCAAGTCTCAGACTATCTTATTAGTGACCCCTCTAATCATTCGTTTTATTGATAACGGACCAGTATTAGGGATAAAAATAGTGTCATAGAGCTCAGCTGGCTTTCACAAGGCCATTAAATGGGCATTCACATATCCACCATTCTAATTATAGACAGAACGCGATGTGTTCCCCGAAACTATTTGCCATCAACACTTTATCTCTTTCTCAAGTTGAACACTCAAGAACAGTTATGATGGAAATTCTTGGGAGCTTAAAGCTTCACTCTTCATAAAATCTCGGCAACCTCATCTTGCATTGATTTTGACGGTTTTCCTATGAGGTTGCCATGTGAAACTTTCACCAACGGCTTAATGACTCAACCAGGTTGTTTTCTTCAATGACATAGAAGTGACTCAAGAAAGCTGCTATACCAGCGAACGTCTACTTCTTCGAGCGTTTCTGACACAATGTCAGGAAAGCAACAGAGAAACCCCGAAATAGACACATTCAGTCCACCACGCCCGGACGGCAGTGCCATTCTTTATAGCATTTTATTGGTATGTATGATGCAGTGGCAAGTGGCGCCGTCGCTTACGCTCACGATCCCGGGGTCGACCTGGATCGTGAGCCGTGAAAAGCCAACCAAGCCTTCCATCCCTACGGGGTCGGATAATTGGTACCAGACTTGTCTGGGAGGATAAAAAACACTGACTTGTACATCGGCTGGCCCCCGCAAGTCATTGTATAGGCCACATCGCATTCAAATGCCACTACGAATGTACAAATGGAAGTAGAATGCGTGCCGCATCCCAAAAAGGGATTGATCAACGGCAAATGCTTCTTATCCCCATTCTTTTATAGCCATTTTATTGGTATGTATGATGCAGTGGCAAATGGCGCCGTCGCTTACGCTCACGATCCCGGGGTCGACCTGGATCGTGAGCCGTGAAAAGCCAACAGGCTTCCATCCCTTACAGTCAATAATATGGTATGACTAATTTGAGAAAAGGAGGAGCGACGAAACCCGCTGATTGCTACATCGGCTAGACCCCGCCAAGTAAGGACACGTATATGTACCTAGCATTCAAAATGTCACTAGCCATAAGATTCTGAATAAAAGGGAGCGGATAGGGCATCGCAAAAATTCATCAAAAACCGCGTATGCTTTATCATGTCCCTACACGAAACAAAAGGGCCGAACATAGCTACCGCGGCCTATTCGCGAACCCCCCCCCCCGGGGGTGGGGGGGGCGCGCGGGGGGGGGCGGGGCGGGCGGGCCGGGGGGGGGGGGGGCCTCCCACCCCCCTCCCCCCCCCCAAAAGGGCGGGGGTGTGTTGTAACATTTTTTTTTTTTTTTTTTTTGGGGGGGGGGGGGCGGGGGGGGCGGCGGGGGGGGCGGGCCCCCCCCCCCCCCCCCCCCCCCCCCCCCCCCCCCCCCCCCCCCCCCCCCCCCCCCCCCCCCCCCCCCCCCCCCCCCCCCCCCCCCCCCCCCCCCCCCCCCCCGCGGCCCCCCGCCGCCCCGCCCGCCCGCCGCCGGGCGGGCCGCGCAAGGAGCACCCACACAAACACCAACTCTAAAACGCGCGATTTTTCCCCACCCCCCCCCCCCCCCCCCCCCCCCCCCCCCCCCCCACCCCCCCCCCTATTTTCTTTTTTTGTTGAATGTTTTTGTGAACCCCCCCCCCCCCCTCCCGGGCCGGGCGCGCCGCGCGGCGGGCGGGGAGCGCGGCCCGGCGGCGGGCCGGCCGGCCCGGGGCGCGGGCGGCGCGGGCGCGCAAAAAACTTTCCCCCCCCACCCCCCCCCCCCCCCCCCCCCGGGGGCGGGCGCGGGCCCCCCCCCCCCCCCCCCCCCCCCCCCGCGCCCTCTCTTTCGATGATTGATGGTTCCACACTCACAGCCTTCGTCAGCAAACACTTTTTGATTCAATGCCACTGCCATTGAAACTGAAGAGATAGCCAGACGCTGAGATGAAGATTCAATCAAAAAAAGAATGCTACAATCACAGAAACCTTCGTAACGATACGTTTTCAAATAAATTAGCTTAATTTTCATTAATATATTATTATTTAGACAAATATCATTTAAACGTTGACGACAGATGACCGCGATTGCGCGTCAGAAATTCACCAAATCTCGCTATGTTGTTTTAATGTGCCATTTTTATGCTTCTAAAACTGAGTGCATACATTAACTGCCGGACCAGACTGTGCATTAAACACCAGAAGTGGATCCAATTTCCTCATATAGTTATTTTGGCTTTTAATTTATTTGAGTTCTGCTATGTGTTTTTTTTTTGCTAGTCACGTTCCACACAGACTTGTATTTTTGATTGCCAGGAACAACTCCTTGTTCCTATGTAATAAACAAATACAAATTATGAAAAATGAGTCATTTATTGCCAATACAATACTGAACGCTGCAAGTATTGCTGGCTCATTGGAGAAACAACCGTAATACCACATTTCTTGGAAGAACGCGCACTATTTACGCCGCTATCGCAATACAAGGGGCATTGTGATGGCAATGCATTCGAAACCGTGTCTGCCTTTTTTGGTAAAAACGGAACTGTGACTGGGCGGGGGTTAAGGGTCTCCAAGAAACCGTGAGCCATTTTCATTTTACCTGGAGCTCCTCGCTCCTCCTAGGGTAGTCCTAGAGGATGCCCCGTATATGCGACAGCACCTATTTACCTTGACTGTCCTACTCTTGAAAACTGAGGTCGGATTTTGGTTGAAATTCTCCCTCACAGTGATTTGGCGAGTACAACTTCGATTCACACATGTGTCCTCGCCGTCAAACAAGGCCACTTTTTGTCGAAATCGACGAGCGATACAATGACGTCCATCCATACGAAACATAAATGTCCATCACTGAACACACACGACAAATTCTTCATATGTTATGCTTTTCCACAGAAACTACACGCACACACGCAAAACGTACCACGCAGCTGGGTGAAGCTAAGGAGTTTCGCCACTTAATTACCATTTCCAGATAGTAACCCACCATTTCTAGATAATAATAAAGGTAAAGAATATATGAGTGAGCAGGCAGATACCAATAACAATATGGGAACGGGATGGGAAGCTTACAATTACTCCACCCCATCCTCGACACTAAGGGTAGAAGCGGTGTAGCGGCAAGTGGAGCTGCTTACGATGAGCGCGGTCCAATAATCAAATCATGGATCATGCGCCGTCCAAGCCAACCAAGCCTTCCATCCCCCTTAATCGGTTAATTGATATAGAAGTTGCCTGAGAATCCCCTGTCTTGTCCTCGTGTCTCCCAAGGCATTGTATAGGCCAAATCGTATTCAAAATGCCACTACGATTCAGAATAGGAGTGGTATGCGTGGCGTATCCCAAAAAAGAAATAGTCAACGCTGGAAGCTTTATCCTTTATACACAAGATTAACTTGGACTTCCCTTCAGTCAAGAAGAACATTGGAACAATCCTGAATGAACGGTGCTCTACTTGACCTGAGCACCCTTTTGAAGAAAAGCTGAACCTCTTGACGATGTTTCCCATTTCCAAAACCACCTTATGCGTCACGCATCAAGATGCATAGCACGCAACTTTGTGACCCAAATTTAAACCCTTTAACATTTCAGATGCTGACAGTCAGCTCCGGATTTGCTAGCAACCTGAGATATGCACGGTAACTAATCGTTCTAGAATGGCATGATTAATCACATCCTGGGCCACAACCAGAGTAAGCGTTCAGAAATATTTCAGGTATATGTGGATCAAAGTTATAAATAAAGTTCAAAAACCTACTACACCCTCCTAGGAAACTATCAGAAAATGTAACCAAATAAAAGGAGTCCTGTTTCACTAGGTCAAAATGAAATAGAGACACCCGCCTGGGAATCTATGTTGCATGCACGCTGAGGATTCTGATCGATGAAGCCAAAACGGGATTAGACACCCCGTCTAACAACCCACGCTTCACTGCATCAACAGGTACAGTTACAAGCGACTAGAAAGCAAACAATCTTGCTCAGCTTATTTTCCTGGCAGTTGCTAATGATGACAACCTGGGACGAAATTGTTTACTTGTCTAGTAACACTAGTGATATAATTTGAGAATACATTCAGTGACGCGTTACTCGCTCGCTATACTTTCGCACAAAGCAAATGACGTCAATGGACACTGAATTTCCCTTCGGAACGATTCACATATAGGGCAAGTGCCGGTGTGTCCTCAAAAGGGCACACGCATGAAAGTATCACGCACAGCTGTTCAGGAGATCTATATCACATCAATATCAAGCAACCCTTCCCAAATTTTGAAAATAGTTTGATTGAGTTGACTCAAGTGTTCAAATCAGTTGAAAGCGTGAGGTAAGAAAATCTCTCTAGCCACCGAACTCATTGTTTCTGATCCTTGAAAACATTCAAGAACGCAAAGCAAAAAAAGAGAACAAGTAACAATTAATGTGAATTCATCGAGACCAGGATTCAACCGACTTTCTAAGCGTTCTAGGCTTTTATTTACCACTACCACTGAATACAAAAAAAAGCTATGAATAATACACCGATGATCACGCTAACCACTTTGTAGTTACCAATGGTTTTTGAAAGTTACGTCATATGTAGGTGTAGAGATGGAACGAATCCCTTCTGTATAATCAGCTGACGATGCTCATGCGAAAACCAACGCTAATGATTATGCAAATCAAACGCTAAACGTCATACATCACAGGTAAGTCATGCATGACATGCAGCATGGTGAGATAGGAATGGCGTGCGAATAATCTGGGCCTTATCAATGCAAATACCGAAAAAAATAGCACTTCAATTATTGCTACTTTCGAAAAACAATGTCACCGCAGCAAGCTGCCAAATATTTCCAACAATACTGATAACTGACAATGCATCATGGTTATGATGCCAGAGCCACCAAAAAGGGAAAAACTAGAAGGCAGAAATTATGTAACCTCCCTAAAAAATGAGAATTTCCCATAATAATACTCACATTCAGAAATCTGCGCTAATATTTCAAATCGCAAATCAGCTGGAAATATCAACGAGCTTTTCTTTTATCGCTTCTTTTTCATTTGATAGCATTCCCCTTATTTTACTTTCACTACGAACAGATTATCGCATCATAATCGTCCAAAAATCATCGGAAAGGCTAGTGACTGAGCTACGTATAGAGTATACATCACCTGGGACCTTTGATTTCCCACAGTCTTTAGCAATTCAGTGCTTGATAGAAATAATCGAAAACCTATGATAGGAGAATATCAAAAATCCTTCCATTAACTATGGCAACCTATATACACTAACATTGCATAACACTGTACTAAAGAATTTCTATTAGGACAAAAATAATCATAATAAATATAACATCACACTGAACAAAGATACCGGATTTCGGCAAAAAGATTGTTTAACAAAATACCCTTTGTGATACCACATGTCATGGTACATTCGAAAAACCAATCTTACAGATTACTCATTAGTTATCTAGTCACACGGCTGCAGACTTGCCAAAACCAATTACTCGCATATATCACAGCATTATTAGCCCCCAGTGGGAGCTTGCAATTAGTCTTATCGAAAATACATTGTACATACATGAAGTGACTGTTGAAAGATTTAGAGCGCAGGCTGCGAATGTTCTCAACTTGAATCACACATCAATCACATAATTTCTAACCAAATGTGAGAACTACGACCACACATTTGAAATGTATCAGCTGAATGTTGATTACTTGGAAATTAACTGAGAATATTGCAATCCAAATGTCTCCCTCAACTGCAAATAAGCGCTCTAATGTGGCAGGGAACTATTTCACTCAAGCGAAAAAACTGCTCGCCACTGACAATGACACTTCAGCGAAACGGAAGGCCAGTCTAGTAAAACTTCCCTCAACAGCCTCGAAAGAGCGGAACAATCGAAGACTCCAACGCATCTTGCCAAGGTCGCAAGAACTGAGAAGTGGAAATGTTTTTTTGAGAAAGAGGAAATTTCCTCCAGTGCCAGAAAAAGTGGAAAATGTTAAAGAGAAAAATTACAGATTAAGACTAGATCGTGGACAGGGAATGTGCCTAATTAGCACTTATCATACTGACCGACGAGAGAAAAAGAAAGGCAGGAAGAACGGTGATACAGCCAGAGAGCTGTCAGAAAGAGATTACGCATATCGAGAGAAGTACACTGCTGAACAGGTTACCATATCTACCGCAGCATAACTTCAGTCTGCTAATCGTGTTTATTGAAATACTTCTTATGCCATTTGAGAGAAGTGCTTCTTGAACTATCTACGAGAACGTTTCTGATAAGATATGGTAGGACGTAATCCAACATTTTACAACTTCCTATTGTCCTTTCGCGCGTTAAAAGCGTAAACTTTACTGTAGAATTGGCCAAAGCTTTGTGACATGTCACTCCCGACTTGCTGTCCTTCATCGGCTTTGTGGGCTGACAAAATGTCAGAAATCATAAATCTCGCGTTTATGGGATGCGACCGAATCGTTATGGGAAGAAGTATTTCATTTCAGGAACCTTAAAATTGGTTTTGGATATGTATAATATCGAAGGATATTGACCGAAAGGAAAAAAAAAAACGTAAATTATGAGGAATATGGGGTTAATAAATTTTATTCTCCAGTGTGGGCTACATTTTTCTAGGCTGCTCTACTTCAACTACCATTCTGTTAGAATCCTGGTGAATAAGCCAGATGTGAATACGAAAGGAACGGGAACCCTGACGCAAACGGAATGAGAGATTCTGATTCAATTGTAGTCGTACAGTTACTGAAGAAGTGTTTTAGTTCCTACAGGGGCCATTTCCAATCCAACCCCCCAGGCTAGGGGAAACAGAAAGGTCCTTAAAATTTATTTGTTTTGAAAGACACACTTCCCCTTACTTTCCGCACTCGCTTGCTTTTACACAAATGTATACATTACGAATATGCAGTTTCTCAGGGCGATTTCCTGTTGAAAAGAAGGAAAAACCAGAAGGGTTCTTTTCTCTATAGGGCAAAGGATAGGACACGGCCCCAGGAGTGGCTTATCTACTAGAGAGCTGGTAATATTGAAACCGCTGATATTTCAAATCATGGGACATATGATCGTACACAGACTCTGGTTTCAATTGGCAAGCAATTTTGCTTGAGAGCAGCAGTGAAAATATCGGAAATTCTTGACAGTTCAGACAGAGATCACAGCACTTTCATAAAGAAAGATTCGAGCAGTCTTTGATCATTTTGTCAAGCCGAACTGTTTACGCACACACTACATGACCTCAGCAGTAAGTAAATAAAAAACGGTTCCGTTCTGACAACGGCACCCACCACACCTCACATACATACTTATAACAAAGAAACTCCACCAAAGTGAATTAACTTACATTTTCCGAGGTCGGTGAAGAGTCTTTGGAACCCTTATTGCTCATCGGCGAACGGGATTCAACTGAAAATCTCGTATTCATATAGATAAAACGTGATTTTCATCGACTGCCGCGCGAATAATTGCCCTAATTAGCGATGTGCGTAGAGAATTGATTGAAACCGTGTGTAGAATAGAGAACAAAGAAGTGAACCCCTACGGTTGTAGCGCTACTAAAACGTACATCACTGTCCCCCCCCCCCCCCCCATAATGTCCTCATGGACCTTGCGAACACACATGTAAGACAAAGAGTTGTGTCGAATTAGAACCAGCTGAGTCTTACTAAAGACGACAAAAAGTAGCCGAAAACAAAGCTTACCTTTGTGTCTGGGAAAATTCCTACAGTGTAAACAGAAGCGTTAGCGGAGACGAACAGCCTACACGGCGTCGACTTCTCCGGCGTAAACAATGAGGTAGGACTTTGCAGGACTGCTGACGTACTACCCAGGTTACACACACGCACACCTTACTCTCAACTCGAGAATCTCAGTGAAGCATGAGGATCAGCTGACCGACGAACGCGAATGTGTGCAGCGCTCCGCCGACGTCGTCGTGGGCAGGCGATCGATTCGCCGTCAGGGGCGTGGTCCACGACCGGGGAGACGCTGGCCGAGACATCGTGCAAAACACAGAGACGCAGAGTGACAGCCGATCGATGACTGTGCCGCTAATTGCGGCCACCCACGGACGGCAGTTCAATTCCCCACACATACACATACACCTGACTGCTCACACCACATCTGCACAATTGCAGTGCGGTACATCTGCACCCCTTATGGCCACGATTAACCCCCGAACCCCCCCCCGTCGTATTTTTGTGTCAATTGTTAGCGAAGGCCGTAAACACAAGTCGCCACGCTTGTTCAGTCCGAATAATGTCATTTTCGTCAAACTTTACCATCCAGCTGAGTTGGGGTGAAATGGTGCCCCGGTGGTGTAACTGGTAGCACAATTGCCCGGAAAGCAAGAGATCCGGGTACGAATCCCGGCTGGGGCGAAAGTTTTGCCCACAACTCAGCATTCTTGTGTCGAAATCAGAAGGAACAGATGGGCGCGGTGCCAAGCGGAGCCCGAGTAAGTACGGACCCTCCCCACCCTGCTTTCAGGTTGAGTCAGCCGATTCTTCAGAAAGACTGAACAGAACTGCAAAGCTTTCGACGTTTTTGAGCCGTTGTTGGGATGCGCCACGCGTTCTGTTTCCGTCCAAAATCGTAGTGGCATTTCGATTGCGACCGCGAGTTAGTCTATACATACAATGACTGCGAGGGGTGCCAGATGAGTGCGACAATGTAGTGTATTATCCACCTAGACAAGTCTGGTATCAATTAACCGACCCCGGAGTGATGGTAGGTTGGTTGGCCTGAACGAGGTTCGATCCGGGGACCCCAGACCGTGCACAGAATAGAATGGCAAAGCTTTCGGCGTTTTTAATCTTCTGTTGGGATGCGCCATGCGTTCTATTTCTGTCTAGAATCGTAGCGGCACTTTCATTGTGAGAGCTGGTGTTTACAATGACTTGCGAGGTGCTACCAGACGATGTGGCAACTTAGTGATTACCTTCCTGTACAAGTCTGGTATCAACTAACCGACCCGGGAGGATTCGAAAGCTCAGCTGACCTGGATGAGGTTCGATCCGGGAACCCCAGACCGTGCACGTGGAAAACAGCACCACCAGCTAAGCAGAAGTAAAATCGACTGCTTCTGCAATTGTGCAAGGAAGTAGAAAGTGGCGTACCCAGGGTAAGCTCACCGTATGGTCGGATTCCTCGCTAGCAGGTCGTAGTCGGCTCTCTGGGGAGGAGCGATGGGATAGAGTGAAGTAGGCATTTGCAGGTGTACTGCAGGACAGGTGTACTTTGGAATGGAGAGTAGGATTCAGTTAGGGTGATGAAATTTTTTGGGAAGAGTCTTGTTTGTAAGAGTTTTTGAGAATTTTTGATGGGTAAAAGAAAGATAGTGATAGCTCGGTTAAGTCAGAAGTTATAGCTTCAGTTAGATGGTTGGGAATTGGACCCCGGAATGAGATGAAGCCATCATCCCGTTCTGAGGTTTTATTAACCCCGAACGGTGCTTTCATACTACGATCGTATGGCCGCGGCGATCGTGGCGCTTGCACAGAAGTAGATAAGTATCGATCGTAGTTCTGAGCAGTT